ATCTTTGACAGGGTAATATTGCGTTAGAACGCGAGATCTCGCAGTGAACGGAACAGAATGTATTGATGCAAGGTGCAGCATCTCCTTCTCAAGGTGCAACAATTCCGCCTCTACCATGTCTGCTCAATTGTATGATATCCAATAAAATGAAAGAGGGTCATTTTTATGGTGATATAATTTATGTGTATGAAAATTGCATATTTGGTAGTATGCTGTAGAAACCGATGATAACTGTGTGTGTTTATAATTTATAATAAGTTCTCTATTGATTTCAAATACACTATTTATTTGGTTTACTAACTAATATCAACTGTTGACGCACACCCGCAATAATATTCAGCTCTACAACACATCCCGTTCACGATGGCTAACACTGCAAAGAAGGAATGAAATGAACAAGACCTGACGATTGGTTAAAATCTATCTCCACTTGACTTCCGATGATTTGCAGAATTAGTACTATCGAGAGGCATAATTATGCATAATACTTATATAAACATCGACATATTTGCCAAATGTTCTCTACAGTTTTTAATAAATCCATATTTGCCCCCAATTTCACACAAAAGACCTCTTTACTGCAGTCTATACGTAATGCATTGTGTATCATCATAGTCCCTGGGATAGAGAAACTGTGGTATTACCATAATTCTTTTTTTAAAAGGCCATATTAGACGAAACAATAATATGCGTGTGTAATTATTGCGTGCCACTTTGTGTCAATGTTAAATGAAATATGTTTAAGAAAGAGCAAATGTCAATGTCAAACTTTGATACCATTGTACATTTTTTCCCAAAAAACTTCAGTCTCATTTGTGTACGTTCATGTCGGAAATGTTTTTGTTTTTTCATGGGAAAATTAGTTGTCATGACAAATGCTCAAAATAAACATTTATACACTACCTGAAATTATTGTTTATATCTCAAAATGTTTGAAAAAAAGTTTAATCATTTACATGGGATGACAAATTCATAAAAGTATTATGTATATGAATCTTAATATTAAATTTAGTGAGTTACGATTATGATAATTAGTTATTCATTAAATACAATCGGAAGCTCTCTTCCATAATGCATTGTACATAAGCGCAGTAGCATGCTCATTAGTGCAAACTTTGGCGCAAACTGACATAATGAACACTATATATGAGAGGAAAATAGTGTGCATATGTAAAACATTGTGTGTTACCTATGTGCAAGGTTTGAATGGAACGGTGCGTACATGTTTAAGATGCCTATTTTGATCCCATTTTGATCCTAAAAATCGATAAATACTGCCGCAAAACCTTATTTGCAGAGGCGGACTGATAAGCTGTGCGTTTGTGACGTAGCTCCGCCCTACGAATACACGTCAATCTCTTCGTCATCAGTCCCAAGCAAAAGTTACCACAGGATGGCACGTGAACCTTATTACGCAGAATGGACACACGTTTGATGAGAAATTCCACGAGTGCTCTATTCTGGCGCGCCCTCTATAGATGTATCCGCGCTTTTGGGTTCTATTGTTGTGTATGTTCACGGGAAAACAATTAAAAAATGCATCTTTTCAAGT